AGGCGGCGGCGTCGGCGGCGGCGCTGCTAGAAGCAAGGCGCTTGGGGAACCCGGGGAGGCCAGGCGGTCCCTGACTGCAGCAGAGAGCTTAGCAAGCGGGCGCCTAGCCATGAGCCGCACGTGTGGGATCTAAAGCCTGTCCTTGTTGTCGCCGCTCCCCATTGCTCCCATTGGAAGAGTATGCTCTGCGCCCAGCCCGGCTTTCTCCAGGTAAGACGCGACCAGAGTTGCCCCGCTGTTGCCTCGCTTGGTTGGGTGGCCCTTCCCAGCGGCAGCTGCTGTTACTTTCAGGCGCATCTCACCTTGGCCGGCATCCCTCTACCCCTGCCCTTCGGAGCGGCGCCGCTCCTTCTGCCTGGCTCATAATGTAGTAAAACGCTCCTGTCCTTCTCCTCCGTTTCTCCATCCCCCCCCCCCGAAAGCTGGACAGGGTGTTATTGTGGCTTTGGGCTCCTACTCTGCAGCATTTCCCCGTCCCTCGGCCCCTGCCAGGCTCTTGTGTTGCTGAGGACTTGGATCTGGACACGTTCAGGGAGTTACCAAATGCATCCTAACAGAAAGGGAAGGGGGAAAGGTCGAGCGATATTTTCTAGGAGATGCGGTTGCCTATTCCAAGAAGGAGCTGAAATGGGCCTTCTTTTTAGTGACTTATCACACAAAGGATGTTGGTAATAGGCCAGGTACTATCAAGTCATAAAACACCCTGTAAATCTTTATGAATCGATCTGTCTCTTTATTTTACGGGAGGGAGAATACGGATGAGTGTGAACTGACAGCAAATCTGTAGTTTTTACTCACCTGCTGGCACCTGACTAAAAATGTCAGGGAACGGGAGAAGGTAGGAGGAGGATTCTTTTTTATGTGTGTACAATACAGCATTTATTTTTTGAGTGCCTTCAAACTATGGCCACTGTCTCCCCTTGTTTTGCTGGGCTCTAAAGGGAATTAGAAGTCCATCTGCATATGCAGGAACACCTTTCTGTTGCTGCAAGATTGCTGGGCACAGTTTTTGAATTCAGTGCTAGAGCAGTTGTTAGTTGCCATTGTTAGGAATAAAATAATAGGAAAACATGAGGAACCCATTACTATCTGTACATCGCATAAATCTGACAGTGTTGCTATAATCTAGTTAATCAGATTTCTGTTGCTTTGATTTTTTTCAACAGCTTTTGACTTGATGTCAATGCAGCAAATTCTTAAAGATGAGTTGTGGGCTTATCTTCTCTCTCCCCCTCACCCCCATCTTGTTTCAGGTTGATGAATGGTACATTTCACTGACTTAGTTAAGTACTTCTGGTTTGTTTTCATATGTAGTTCAAGATTAAGATCAATGGTGCAATCATGAATAATGCAGCTTTTTTTTAAAAAAAAAAAAATCTTTTCTGAGCTGCCAGCAGAAATGTTCACAGACGTAGAGCTCACTGGATTTCACCAGTGTATGTTTCTTCAAATGAAAATAAATGTATTGTTTGGCCTGGTCTTGCCTGTTTACGTTCTCTCTTTTTAGAGCTGCAGTGGCACCCCTGTTATGCTGCACTCAGCAGAAGTGCAGAGGTGTTTTACAGCAGCCAGTCAGGCTGGAAAGAAACTCTTCTCCTGGCTGATCTTGCTAATTTGCCTGTGTTTTTAATTTACCATCTGATTCAGTGGGGTGCATCCCTGGGTTGAAGAGAACAGCATTTGAGGGACAAGAAAACTGCTGCTTGGACGATGTAACGTAGCAGGTGGTCAGCGGTGCTCTTGTAAAGCCAGGAAATATGGGGATTTTAGGTATTACAATAACTCATTTTAGCTGGAGGATTTATTTGAAAATGTAGATTTTCTACCAAGAAGGGATTATCTTTTTTCTGCTGTGTGACTGTCTTTTGTAAAGAAATGGAGCATACTATAGTATAGTGTCTTGACTGCAGTGTACACTTGTCTTTGCTTTCTAAAATGCTATCATTTTAAATAGCATGGCACTATTTTTATTTCTAATCTGAGCAGCATTATACTCAGTAATGATGCATTTTAATTAAAATCCTGCCAGTACTTTGAAAAGACACTAGAAAGCAGACTCAGCTTCTAAAGAGTATATTTCATCACTTCTTTTTGATTTTTTATATTCTATCTTTATAATTGAGTACTTTGAGTGAGAATTTATTTTATTGTAAAGCTAATTGTTGCAGACTGATGCTAATTAGACTTTGAAAGTTTGACCAATGAAATCCTATGTATTCAAACTTTATGTACACGTACCACTTTTTGGATATTTTGGTGTAGAGAACCACAGAGATGACCTTGGAGAAAGTATGGAACTTCAGTTAGAATAACATGATTTTAGTCCAGGACAGGAAGAAAACATTAGAAGAAACTCAATCTAGCTCCATCTTAATTGCCTGGTATATAACAGGGAAGATACAGTCAAGCATTCAAGATTCTGTTATTGTAGGCTATATCAATAAAGTAGAATCCCAGTCAAATTTATGGAGTCTGTTTCCTGGCCTGGCCTACCTCAAAGGGCTGATGTCCAGTTTCTAGCTAGAAATGTTCACATGTGATGCAAAAGATAATGTTTTATTTTTCATTGAATACTTATGGTTATAATTAATTCCTATTAATGACGTGTAACTTGTAAATACTGCAGGCAACTCAGTTAGCTACTAGATGGGTTTTCTTTATCTCATGGGTTTGTTCTGTGTTTCTAAGCAGCTGATAAATATTGTCTTTAATTCCATTTGTATATATGGGTGGCTCCCAACAACAGTAAAGCCACAAACAGTAAAAACAACAGCAGCAACCCATAAGACAAAAAAACCCTCCACAAGCTCCCACCTCACTCTACTCAGCACCTGATACCCTAGCCAGGAACTGGTAAGAGCCAGTCCCATATGGCTTTCTGGAAGGCTAAAAGGGTGGGGGCGTGCCAGGTCCCTGGGGGAAGAGTAGGGGCTGCTATGGACAAGGCATACTTCCTAGGTCCCACTAGATGGCAGTATTTAAGGGAAGGGACCTGGAATGTGCCCACTCTATCCGAACTGATGGGCCCCATGCCATGTAGCACCTTGAATTGTACCCAGAAAGAAACTGGGAGCTAGTGCAGCTCACGCAAGAGTGGTGTGAAATGGGCAAACCAAGGGGCGCCCAACGTTGCACACACCACTGTATTCTGGCCCAGTTGTAACTTCCAGGTGGTCTTCAAGGACAGCCCCATGTAGGGCACATTGCAGTAGTCCAACTGGGAAGTGGCCAAGGTATGAGTGACTGAGCAAAGCTTCCCTATCCAGGAATGGGTGCAATTAGCACAAAAGTTGAATTTGTGCAAAGGCCCCCTGGCCATGGCTACCACCTGCTCTTCAGACAGAAGCCAGGTGTCCAGGAAAACCCTCAAATTTTGCACCAGCTCTGTCTGGGGAAGTGCAACCTTGCCAAGGATCAAAGATGATATATCACCAGAACCAAAGGGGGCGAAAACTCAAACTTACTCTGTCTTGGTAGGGTTGAATTGGAGCCAATTTCTCCCCATCCAGACCTTCGTAGATTTCAGGCACTGGGTCAGTACCTCAACAGCATCATGCCAGATAGGGGTAGAGAGGTACAGCTGAATATCATCACCATACTGATAATGCTGCACCCGGTGCTGTTGAATGACCTCACCCATGGTTTCAGTAGATGTTAAAGAGAAGGAATGAGAGATCCAAGCCTTGAGTCATACCATATAATCATATACATGATTATTCCAAGGAATAGTCAACCAGAGTTGTGTACTGATAAAGTTCATTCCAGTATTAGGTTGAGATGTTTGTGTTTCATGGGCCTTTGCAGTTGTTTGATAAAATTAATAATGAAGGACAAGACTCCCCAAAGAACAATTTGCCTGCCTATTCATTACCATTAGTCCTATGCTACTGCAGAGCAGTGTTGGATGTGTTTTAGGTCATTCTAGATCATGCTCATGGTAGTCCAGTAATAACACACATACAGAGACTGAGGTAGTAATTTAAGAAAAGATATGGACACATACATTATGGCGAAGGTTGTGACATAATAAGGGGCCATTGGACCAAAGTTCCATTATTGAGGGTTGGTCTACACTCAACAGTCTGGACCCTGCATTGACTCTGTTCACTGACACAGGCAACATGTTCAACCTGAGTTCATGGAGAAAGGGCAAAGTGCTGGTGTCTTCCTTTGCAAGGGGTGTGTGTGTGTGTGTGTGTGTGTGTGTGTGTTTGTGTGGGGAGGGATGGCAAAAGGAAACTCAGACAAAAGAATTATAAAGGAGCAATGAGAATTGAGCCATCTGTTATTGAAGCAAATGAGTTGCTCCTTGGATTATCAAAAATTGAACTCAAGCTGCCCTTCTATTATGCAGTCCTGATCTTGACTCACCCCTGCTTTTTAACTTCCCACCAGACCTTTTTCATCACAGATTGAGGGCTGAGTTTGTATCTACTATGTTGTTGGTGGGCTTTGGCCTCACCAAGACTCAGTAGACAAAATGACAGTGAAATCTATCAGGCATGTCCTGTCCTCTAAAGACACAACGTATGTGCTCTAGAACACACACCACAACTCTGCAATGCTTAAAGAATATTTGGCAGATCAGCTGATACAGAAAAACACTCCTTAAAGAGAGAAACTTTGAAAAGCATGACATTTCCTTAAGGAAAGCATCATTACATTTATACAATCCCTATTGTTCCTTTCCAACAAAGTCCTTTGCCTGCCTCTGGGTAAATGGGGGGGGGGGGGCAACTTGTTGACCTTCAGTTGTTGATGGATTCCAATCTTCATCAGCTTAAGCCAGTAGTTGAGAATGTGAATAGATGGAGCCATATGACATCCAGAGGACTGCATGTTACCCATGCAGTAGAAGAAGCAAGACTGCTTCAGTCAGTAGTTTGAACACAGTGCAGTAGCTAGGATGGGTTATTTGCTACTTTAAAACTTCGGACCTGCAGCTCATTTTTAACAAAGGCTTTTTTAAAATCTTTATTATGGTCAAAGACCAGCATAATTTAACAAAGGCTGTGTTTTGGAATGAATAAGATCTGGGTTGCAGGAGCACTGGCATCATTCATGACTTATTCCTGTGTCCAAGGCATAGGAAGATGACTGTTGAACCCCTTCTAAGAGAGGAGGTAAACAGCGATAAAGATCTGTAACCCGGCTAATCCTCTATTTGCTCGTATCTTGGCCAAACATCTGACATGCATAATGGGAAAACA